TCCAACTCCTCCCTGACGGATTGAGTATTACCGCCCGCCCTAAGTTGTGCATGCATCTCACAGCACCTGCTGCGATACCGGCGATACTTCGCTGACATTTTCAAAAAGACTTCGACCCGCGTCTCAGCCGTACGAGCACTCTCGATTTCCAGCATGTAAATCTAAAAAAAAGAGGGGGAGGAATTAGCGAAAGCAAATGGCACAAAACAAAGAAAAAAGCAAAAGGAAACTCACCCTCAAGGCCATCCCGGCCACACCGCGTGACAAACCAGAAACACTGATCTCCCGAAGAGACTCGCTTTCGGCAGCGGAGCATAGAAAGTCAAATTGGGGCACCAAATCCACCGTGTCCTCCAACAGGTTAAAGTCCGATGGGATTTCGACACACGGGAAGGGCCTTCTACCCTTACATCGACCCTGGTAAAGCCGTCCTCGAACATCCTCATGTCCTCAAGATCTATATCAGAATCGAATTCATAATCATCTACCACTACGCCCTTCAACTTCGCATTAGCCGAAGATGGTGTACGGGCCTGCCGAGACGTTGATGGGCTGTTCGGAACGATCACGGCAGCTTCGAAACTCTGTCCCCCTGCCACAGCAGCCTCTTCCATGCCCGTAATGGGCATCGCCTCCACACCCAGGCTGGCATCACCGCCAGCTTCAGACACCGCCAAAATAGGGTCGCCCCTCGAGGGCGTTTCAGCCAAAGACGCCCCCTCCGACACTATCCTCCGCCTCTTCGATGGGGCTGCTTCGCCACTGCCACGAGAAGGTTCGTCAATTGAACAGACTGTGGGAACAGGTTTGGTCATGGATGCGGTCCGCCGAGCAACCAAACTTTGGACGCCCTCATCAGTTACTCTTGGTACAGGCCGGGCAGAGGAAGCCGGTTAACAAAAAGCGAGGACTGGAGCCCTTTCCCTTCTCGCTCCTCTCCGACCTGCCAATAAGAGATTCGACCAAACAAAGATAAGATAAAGAAAAAGACGGGGCAAAGAACAAAACAACTACGGTCGAAATAAGCCGACTTACCAGCGGAAGGTTTGTGCCCAAACTTCTCGTGGAAAGGCGCCCATTCGCGAATCTCCATCGTGTGGGGCAGAAACGAGTCACCCATTCGCGAATATCGGCAACTTGCGGAGGAGGTACCCTCTCGGCTGCGGAAACAGAAAACACTCGACGGTCACTAAAGGGAGACAACCAACAGCTATGTTCAAAAAATTATATAATATAACAAAAGGAAAGGGAGACCTACGGGCGAAATTCCACACCTTAGGAAACCCCACAGGGTTCGGTACTACGTGCTCTATTCGGACGTAGAAGAAGTACTCCCAAAAGCGGCGATTCGCCTTGTCATCCATCTTCACCACCAAACCCTTGGTTCCTCGGTGACGCATGTGAATCATCGTGCCCCTATGAAATGGGGGGCGAAGAGGTGAAGCATGTGTTGTAGATAAATTCCCCGATCGGCCAGCTCCGCGTACTTGATAAGCATAAGGAAGAGCTTATATACGTACGAAGAGAGTTGAGCCGGACACATCGCGTAGAAGCGATAGAAGTCCACCGCCAAGGAGGGAAGGGGAAGCGTGTATCCAATGACAAATGGATACGCATAGAACGCGCAGTAGCCCGGGCGGTGTATATGCACTATGTCACGACTCGCTGGAACTAGTTCAATGTGGTTGGGGATTCCCCATTTGGCTTTGAAAGCCGTGAGCGCCGCAGCATCCATCGTAGAAAGAACAGGTTCCGGCTCATCCCCACCAGGGCTACTGAAGTCAGTCCTCGCCTTCCCTGGGCGGGGAACCACCTCATCTACCGTCGAAAAACTCTCGTCCTCCACTAGATCCACTCCCTCTTCGAGTAGGGGTATATCGTTTTCCGGCACCAGGGCACCAACAGCTCTATCAGGGTTGGAAGATGCACTAGCCATCTCTTCTTTGATTGCGAGAATCGGGAATGATAAAGGAAAAAGGTAGCGGTCACAAGAAGTTTTAACAGAATGGGAAATGTGGAAACTGAAGGAGAAGAAAAAAAGCTGCAAAAGTCTCTCTTGAGCGATTGGGAAGCACAAGCATTCAAATGTAAGATTTCCCCCTATATATAAGGATATAAATACCCTGAGCGGGAAAATCAAACACCGCCATTATGAAAACGGAAAAGGCACGGAAAACGATGCAATGCATAGAAAACGTGCGCCATAATGACGGATGAGGAGTTCTTGATGACATTCTAAACTGACGTGACTAGAGGTGGGCATAAAATCCAAAAAACCGAATTCCGAACCGAACCGAATTAATTTGGTATTTCGGTATCGATTTTTTTAGTATTTCGGTATAGGATTTTCGGTATTTCTGTATTTCGGTACGATATTCGGTATTGAGTTTTTGATATTTCGGTATACTGAAATACCGAATATTTTAAGTCCAAGCCCACTTCTATTTCTATTTTCCAGCCCAATAAGCCTAAGCCTAACACGCCAAACCCCCTGATTCCCTGTGTAAACTTGAATTCTGCTGCTCATTAGATGCTGGCCTGCTGCTCGTTAGAAATTTAAAATGATTTCCTTTTAATGAATTCTATTGATGACCTGCTGTTGCAAACTTGCAATTGCAATTGTATTAGTGGTTGTTCATGCTTCCTTATCAAATTTTTTGGCCTTCTTGCTTGGATTAAGTGTATTTCCTAAGGCTTACTTCATGTACTATCATTATGGACATAATTTTTTAAGTTATGGATGATGAGAATTGAGAAAGGAACTTATTTACATAAAACAAAATACAGCAGTGCCTTACCGTGGAGAAAGTGCCGCTTAATATTCTTCTTACAGAGTGCTAGCTTAGCACAGCGTGTCAACTGTCCACTCTCTATCTACATCATCTGTTTACGTTTGTAAAACATTTTCTTTTAAAAGACACGATTCCATTAATGTATCAAACCGAAACCATATCGAACCAAAATAAAAAATACTGAATCGTACCGAACTACTTTGGTACGGTATTTGGTATACACAATTGATAAATCGAATACTGAAATACCGAACCGAAGTTCTTAAATACCGAACCGAAGTACCGAATGCCCACCCCTAGACGTGACGGTCTGATGCAACTCTCGAAACGTCACGTCACTACCTCGCCACGAGGGATTTGCCCATCATCCAAAGTGTTCAGATTTCTCACAACTTTCGAATCGACATTGCCCGCCCATCGAGCTCGCCTAAAGACGACCCTAATAGGCAGAGGGACTAACTGTATGGGTAGAAATTTGACCAAACAATAATCTGTGCGAAGAGGAGCGGCAAAGTCATTTGGGCCGAAGTCGTATTCGTACAACGCTATAGCGATGAGCACCTCGGCTAAGGCCGAGGTCGTGTACTCAGAATACTTGTACGGTGAGTTGGATGTTACAGTATTTCAGAGGGTCAATCTGTAAAATAGTTAAATGGCTTAGGTACTCTGGCTAATGACCGTTGTGTAAATGAGAATACCTAGTATATATACTAAAGGAGAGATCGAAGAAAAGGGGGGGCCTGAAACAAACTCAGACAGAGACATCTTCAGAGAAGAAAGATCTTCATCTCTCTCTCCTCACTAAAGAGAAAGAAGCAAGGGAGCTCGGATATTCAATATACAACGTTAGTCTCATCATATCCAATGTATGGGGGTCAACCTTGTTAAGGATCGGTGACCATCTTTATCTATGTATTCTTCATTATTATTCAATATTATGTAAGTCACCTTCCTCTTCTTATATTACGGGATTCAGCTATGGCTATGGTTAAATTTTAAGTTCAACTATGCTTGCTTGTTCTTATCCTCTGTCTTAGATCTAGGATGAATTATCTTTGACTAGGATTTACCTCAAATCTTCCTATTTAATTAGTTTGTAAAAAGACATAACACTTTTTAGTCAAACAAAACCCATGTAATTTTACAAATAGGATCCGAAAAAAATAGTGTGTATGCAGACCTTATTCGTACATTATAAAAGTAAAAATATAATTTCCGATAGACCTTTTGTTTAAACATTGTTTAGAATTTACTAGCTTCTCAAATGATCTGACCGATCTTTGCTTAAATCGAGAGGGGGGGAAATCCAATGCACCATACAATTAATGAATTCAGATAAAAATCTTATAAAAGATTAACTCGTCAAATATAAATTATAGATACATCAATGGACCTAGTCTTCCTTCCTCGTTCAATTTGACTGGCTTGGTGAGCCGGGCTGTTTATTCAATTTCCAAATCCACACATTAACATTACAATATTGGCGTATGGTTTGGTCCCCTACCACCTCAGAGTTACCCACACAGGCCAGAAAGGCACAAACCATTTGGCCTTCTGGCACAGTGCTGCAGCTGCTATATACACCCATTGTATAGGTAAGGTAAGGTCCCCACCCTACCAACTCATTTTAAAAATATAGGATTCCTCTCAAATCTGCGATATCCAAATATTCCCACCCTACCTTCTTAAAACTATGTTCAAATATCACATATTTCATTTTTTATTTTCCTTTCAGGTTCCGCTATTATTACTTTGGTCATTAGTATACAGCTAGCAATTCCCCACCATTGTCACCAAACCAAAATTTTCCATATTCAAACCACATTACAGCTATCTCCCACAACCCACATTTAGCACATTAATAGTCTCAAAGTCACTTGATAAGTAATTTTTAATGTACCTAACTCCAGTTTTCAACCCTTGCGTGCACGCACATTCCCCTCAAATCCGCTACATATCAAAATCAAATCCTATTCCCTAATAATCTCATTGTTAAGGGTAGTTCAAACTAATTAATCACGTTATATCTTGGATCAGCTAAAGGACATTTCCATTTGAATACAAACGAATGGGTAAATTTCAGTAGTATTTCCATCAGTTTGTAACTACTAGTAGTATTAAGTATGTGAAATACGAACCACTAGGGAGTAGCCTAAACACTATCGTAATACTTGCAAATGAAGAATAGAGTTTAAAAAGGCATGACTGTTTACCCAGAAAAGAAAACACCAGCTTTGACATTGACAACTTGAAATGGTGAAAAAGTTTACAAGAGCAACACACCAAGTTAAGAAAAAACAGCAAAATGCCCTGTCAGTCAAATCCCCCACTCTCTCTGTACATATTGAAGAAAGTAGCCTAATGTTTCGTTAGCAGTACTAACAATCAGCCAATTTTTTTAACTAGTGATGACCGACGAAATCTAAAACCCATCGCCATCATTTTACCACTCACAAAAAAAAACAGTAAAAAAAAAACAACGGAATGAAAAAAAAAAACCGTTAAAAAAGACTACTCAGGAGAGTAAATCCTGAGAAGGGCATAATTCTTTGCGAAGCTTTTGAGAGAAAAGCCTGCAAGCATCAATGCTGAGATCAATGGCAGCTGACAAAGCCACGTATGCCGCTGCATCCTCCGTGCAATTCACGTGCTGCACACTAACTTCCACCGTGGGTTTACTGCACTTACTACTCCCACCGCCCTCGCCTTCCACGCTAGCCGACATTACAAACCCTCGGTACATGCAATATGGCCACAGTCCGTACCCAAAGTCACCACTACCTCTAGGACTACACGCCGGTGACGTGGAGTTCCCAGGTGTCAATCTCCCATTGGTTGAAACGCTGGTCCCGAGGTCTATCACGAATTTTCCGCCTTTACTACAGCTCAGTGTGGACTCGGCTAACACTATTCTAGCTGCGGCTGAGTCAGGGATAAGCTCAAACCGGTAGCCAAGGCTGTCTGCTGAACCACGTTCACGCCAGGCCTCGAGCCTGCCCCATGGTTTCCAAGTTCCGTCACCTGGCCGGAGAATTAGCCATGAGCCAGGGTTGGACCGGCTTACCCTGTCTGAACCGGGAGAAGCAACAAATGGTGTAACCATTGACGCAGCTGCAACTGGCGAACCGGAGAGATCGTGGACCGTGATTGACCAACCCTTTCGCTCCTTCCCTGGCCGTTCCCTTTCACTTCCGAAGGAACTCAACCAATTTCGCGAACCACTATGCTCCAACGGCAAAGACCTGCACCATGCAGTTCCAATTTCGTCAAAATTTATGGAAAAAAAAATCATTTTTTAAAATTTAAACAAAAAGAGAGAGAAGCTGTTCAAGGCGTAATGGGAAAGGGAGAAAATCATATCTAATTACTGACATTGGAAGCTACTTTTTTCGCTTTAGGATTGGTAAACCTAACTTTCCCGTACAATTTGAACATTCTTTTGCATTTGAATACTGAAAAATTCAAATCTTTTATGCGGCAATGTAATGTGAACCTAATTGTGTAAGTCAACTCTGTCGGTATCAGAACTAAAGTGTAGTAAAGATTGGAAAAAAAAATATATTAAGTATCGGAACCAACCTGGACCTCTGATTGCGGTCGCCGGTGGTTCGAAAACTGAACTTGCATGTGAAAACCGGTTGGCGAATGGTTCCTTGAATTTGAAACACTTGAGGACTGCATTCCGGCTCTCCGTCGAACTGAAACACGAATCTCGGATCGGGTTCCGCCTTAACACTCAAATGAAATTGCGCACTTGAATTCTTTGCTTCTTTTCCGATAACTATCCAGCCATTATGGAACAGTACTGACCTAGACTCCGTTCCCGCAAGATCCAAAGGCACGTCAACCTTCCCTAGCAACCTCCCGGAGTTCACACCACAGGTCGACCCTCGCCGACCGGTGTAGATTGAGATTTTCAGGTACAACTTACCACCGCCGAAGACAGACTTTGCAACGAGCTTCTCGAGATCACACTTGTTAAGATGAAAACTCGCCGCGTGGCTTTGTACCTGACCGTCCGGAAATTGACTCTCCGACAAAATGCACGGCACAACCGCCGTCTGTAGAGGAAAATTCTTAAGTTTGATTTTACAATAGCACGGAGACGACGACGGGTGCACGACGGAATGCGCCGGCTTTGAAGCAACCGGAACTTTTAACGCCAAATTACACACACTGAGTCGCACAAAAGGACACGGATCCATTGCGGTTTGTTCCCTTCGGGTGAAACCAAAAAATCCAAACTCAAAACTCTCAGTTTTGTAAAGCTAAACGAAGTTGAAGAATTAACTGAAGCGTAGGTTTAGGAGAAAAACTACTGTGCGCCGGTGTGGAGAAGAAATTGTAATAGAGCCCATAGGGATTTGTGCACAGAGAAGATATAACCCTGGAATTGGCTCCACTAAAACATACTAGGTTCATCTGTTGGAAGAAGAAGAAGACTCTAAAATAAGCCCCTTTTTTGTAATATAAAAATAGAAAGAAAAAAAAAAGAACTCATTTAATTGAATAATTATTTAATCTATTTGTTTATTTAATATATTTATTGTACGGAGAGGAGTGGGTTTTTAGCTGCTAAGTAGAAGCTCTGTTCGTGGGGTTGGATTACAGCTGTGTACAACCTGGCTTTGATTTTATGCCAGCAGGAGTTCGGCTCCATCTGTTTCGTTTAATGACCGGATTAACCTTGTGCATACCAATTAAATTACCTTTATATCCTTAAGTTGTTGTGGTTGGGTCCCACGTGATGGTCTCTCAACAGTTTGATGCAGGGGAAGATGTTATGCATGAGTCTCTTTTGGGCTATTTTGTTCTGACACGTGGCATGTCAGGATTGCAATTTGGCTTTGTGCTAAGTTTCTGATTAAAATAACGTCAGCATTAAGCAATATCATAGTTGTATAAGTACTTTGTATAGTTATCATCTAAACTCTTTTAGAAATTACTTAAAAATAATACGTAGACTAAGTTTGGCGGATTTGATTATTTTATGCAGAAAAGTCAGCAAGTAGGATTAGTGGTATCCATTTATGCAGTTAGCTAATCATGTTTGAGGGGTCAAATAAAGAGGAAAGAATTGTTTATGAATGAATCGTCAAAAAATAATTCACCAACTTAGATGTCATCAATAAATATTTAACGATATTAATACAAGGGATTGCAGAAAATTTATACTCCTATTTGTTTGTTAATTGCTATTTTGTCGTTAGGTGTGTTATTATTAATACTTGACTACTTGTTATCTTATCAGAAAATTATATAATCTTAGGCTGAAGACTTACCCTGAAAGAAATACTTGCCATGGCAAACTCAGTTAACTTCATACTTATCTTTTTTACCATTAAGGGGTGTGATAGAATGGTTGGGATTCTTGCACTTTTAACTGAAAATCTTAGGTACAAATCTTAGAGTGTTATAAATAGAATTTTATTTATGATAAATGTCTATATTTAGAGAGATTCTAGGGTTCATTGCTTGGTGGCTAAGTCACCCTCTCCCTATAAATAGAGGGTTCTATTCCATTGTAATTCATCCCAAATCAATAAGAATCCTCTCTCTCTTTCTCTGCAATATTGTTCTTATTCTTTTATAGTTTTATAACACGTTATCAGCACGAACTCTAAAGTTCCACCGACTACAAATATCTCTTACTTAAGAAAAGCTGTTGAAAGAAAGTCTATGAATCTATATGGATCCAATTGGCACTGTTGAGAGTATAGCAGAGGTCAGTACGCTTTCTTTAGAGCTATCAATATACTGGCGAAAGAATTTGTTATATACATTAGTGGCTTATTTAATACTCAAGTAATAACTTGAGTATTAAGGAACAATAAGTTATAGAAACTTAATAAGACAAATAATAGTTCAACTGTAAAAGTCGATTTTCGTACATCAGTATCCTTTACATTATAACTTTGGCATACACTAATTGCATTGATTATTTGGAAAGCAAATATGGATATATCACATCGCAAACTTGGATCAAAGTTCAATTGTAAAAATATTTATTTAGTTGATTCATGTACGACACATACAATATTCAAAGAGAAGAAATATTTCTCTCATTTAAGTATGTGTAAGGCAGATGTTACTACAATTTCTGGTAGTAGTAAATTAATTGAAGGCTCTGGAAGAGCTACTATAACTCTGCCTAAGGGAACAATACTTATCATAGAGAATGCAATGTTCTCCTCCAAGTCCAAGAGGAACTTGTTGAGTTTTAAAGATATCCGCCGAAATGGATATCATATTGAGACAATAGATGAGAATAATCTTGAATATCTCATCATTACCAAAAATGTCTCTGGCCAGAAAAGGGCTATTGAGAAGTTCCCATCTTTATCTTGTGGCCTGTATTGGACAAGAATTAGTGCAATTGACGCACATTCTATTGTAAACCAAAAGGTTACCAATTCCAATACTTTTGTACTTTTGCATGATCGATTGGGACACCCTGGATCAATTATGATGAGACGAATTATAGAAAACTCAAATGGGCATCCATTAAAGAATTTAAAGATTCTTTTAAATGATGAATTTTCTTGCACTTCTTGTTATCAAGGCAAGTTAATTATTAGACCATCACCAACAAAGGTTGGAATTGAGTCCCCTGCGTTTTTGGAATGTATACAAGGGGACATTTGTGGACCTATTCACCCACCTAGTGGGTCGTTTAGATATTTTATGGTCTTAATAGACGCATCTTCTAGATGGTCTCATGTGTGCCTATTGTCATCACGCAACCTCGCGTTTGCAAAATTAATGGCACAAATAATTCGATTACGGGCGCAATTCCCCGATAATCCAATTAAGTCTATTAGACTTGATAATGCTGCTGAGTTTTCATCCCAAGCATTTAATGATTATTGCTTATCAATTGGGATAAAAGTGGAACATCCTGTAGCTCATGTTCACACTCAAAATGGTCTTGCAGAGTCTTTAATTAAACGTCTGCAATTGGTAGCAAGACCGTTACTCATGAAAACCAGGCTGCCCACTTCTGTTTGGGGTCACGCCATTTTACATGCAGCAATGCTAGTTCGTCTCAGACCGACAAATTATCATAAATATTCCCCGTTGCAATTAGTTTTGGGTCATGAACCTAATATATCCCATTTAAGAATTTTTGGATGCGCATTATATGTGCCTGTAGCACCGCCATATCGCACCAAAATGGGTCCGCAAAGAAGGTTAGGAATATATGTTGGGTTTGAATCGCCCTCCATTATTAGCTACCTCGGAACATTGACGGGGGATTTGTTTACTGCGCGATTTGCAGACTGTCGATTCGATGAGACACTTTTCCCAAAATTAGGGGGAGAAGTTGGTGAAACCAAACGGGAAATTTTGTGAAAAAATCCATCATTATCTCATCTTGATCCACGTACCTCTATTTGTGAAAAAGAGGTGCAAAAGATTATCCATTTGCAGAGAATAGCAAATCAAATGCCAGACGCATTTACGGATTTGAAAAGGATAACAAAATCACATATCCCTGCAGAGAATGTTCCAATCCGTATTGATGTCCCTATTGGACAATCTTCTGGTGTCATAGCTAATGAGTCGAAAGCACGCCTAAAACGTGGCAGACCATTGGGTTCCAAAGATCGAAATCCTAGAAAAAGGAAAACAAATTATCGAAATGACACTACGAAAGAATCTCGTGAAGAAATCCACGATTTAATAAATTCTGAGATTCATGAGGAACCCATTGAGCTAGAAACTCAAGAAAATAAGAAACTATCAATAAATCCAATCGATATTGTGACAGATTTGAATCGATTGGAATAGTGGTGGATTATGTCTTTGCATATAATGTTGCATCTAGCATTATGCAAGATAGTGAGGATCTTTCTGTTGGAGAATGTCGACAAAGACTTGATTGGCCAAAATGGCAAGAAGCAATCCAATCAGAGTTGAATTCACTTGCAAAACGTGAAGTTTTTGGGCCTGTAGTCCAAACACCTAATGGTGTTAAGCCTGTTGGCTATAAATGGGTCTTTGTACGCAAGAGAAATGAGAAAAACGAGGTACAAAGATATAAGGCACGCCTTGTTGCACAAGGATTTTCACAAAGGCCTGGTGTCGATTATGAAGAGACATATTCACCCGTTATGGATGCTATAACGTTCCGTTATCTCATTAGTTTTGCTGTCCATGAAAAGCTTGACATGCATTTAATGGATGTGGTTACCGCCTACCTTTATGGCTCACTTGATAATGAGATATACATGAAAATTCCCGAGGGATTCAAAATGCCTAACGCAAATAATTCAAAGTCCCGGGAAATGTTTTCAATCAAATTGCAAAGATCTTTGTACGGTCTAAAGCAATCAGGACGAATGTGGTATAATCGTCTTAGTGAGTATTTATTAAAGGAAGGCTATATAAATGATGTCATTTGCCCATGTATTTTTATAAAGAAAATAACATCGAAATTTGTTGTATCGTATATGTTGATGACATAAACTTTATTGGAACTCCTATGGAACTCCAAAAGGAAATTGATTATTTAAAGAAGAAATTCGAGATGAAAGATCTCGGAAAGACAAAATTATGTCTTGGTTTGCAAATTGAACATTTGGCAAACGGAATTTTTGTTCATCAATCTACCTACATAGAAAAGGTATTGAAACGGTTTTACATGGATGGAGCACATCCATTAAGTACTCTGATGGTTGTTCGATCACTTGATGTGAACAAGGATCCATTCCGACCTCAAGAAAAGAATGAAGAGCTACTTGGTCCTGAAGTACCATATCTTAGTGCAATTGGTGCACTAATATATCTTGCCAATACTACAAGGCCTGACATAACTTTTTCAGTTAATGTCTTAGCAAGATATAGCTCTGCTCCCACAAGGAGACATTGGAATGGGATCAAACACATATTGCGGTATCTAAAAGGGACTACCGATATGGGCTTATTTTATGGCAACAATTGCAGTCCCGATCTTGTTGGTTATGCTGATACTGGGTATTTATCTGACCCACACAAGGCTCGGTCTCAAACAGGTTATGTATTTACCTGTGGAGGCACTGCCATATCTTGGCGATCGACTAAGCAATCAATTGTGACTACTTCATCTAATCATGCTGAGATAATTGCTATTCATGAAGCAAGTCGAGAATGTATGTGGTTGAGGTCTATAATACATCTTATTCGAGACAAATGTGGTGTGAAATGTGACAAGTTACCCACAATTTTGTATGAAGATAATGCAGCATGCATAGCTCAATTGAAAGGAGGATTCATAAAAAAAGATAGGACAAAGCACATTTCACCAAAGTTATTTTTCACACATGATCTTCAAAAGAATGGTGATATCAATGTGCAACAGATTCGTTCAAGTGATAGTATGGCTGATTTGTTCACAAAATCTCTACCGACGTCAACCTTCAAGAAGCTAGTGTACAATATTGGGATGCGAAGGCTCAAGGATGTGAATTGATGCTCTCATCAGGGGGAGTTAA